GCAACACAGCAGCAGCAGCAGCAGTCACTCAGTTATGTTTGACTCTTTGCAATCCCATGGACTGTGGCCCATCAGGCTCCTCTGTCCATGGGGATTCTCCAGGCAAGAATACTGGAGTGGACTGCCATACCCTCCTCTGAATTTCCAAGTCATGGTAAAAAGCTATAGACAAATAAACTGCAAAAACCTATGATAAAAGTAGAAAAATGTCAAAAGTAAAAAGCAGCCCTGAGTTTCAAACACCCCTTATATAAAAGCGTAGGGACTCTCATTCCTGACTGATGATGCATACGAACTGCTCTTCATTTCTCAGACACTGGATGGTCTTCACTCCATTCCTACTATAAACACTACCCATTGCAGCTAAAGAATCCTGCCCTCCCCACTATCCCCAATCTCCCATCTTTGCCAAGAGCCCTCTGCCATCACTTCCATGGACACTTTGTACCTGTCCCCCACCATCACCTGAGCCCTTTTTAGAAGCTGTGTATCTGACAATAAACAGGACTGTTCTGGGCTGAAAGTGAGGAGGTATGCACCTAGCAATCTGAAACTTTAGGTGCCTGCTCTCGGAAATACTGAGTTAGGCCACAGGCTGTTTAAAGCCTATGATAGTATTAATGGAAAACCCTCCATCGTATGATGTATTAAAGAGGCTTTTGTGGTCTAACAGGGAAACCCAACCACAGTGCAGATCACTGTTACTATGTTCTGACCTCTGTAGCAAATACAGATTTTACTTTGTAAGCCACAAAGGAGTATTACTCCATTCTGCTCTCTAGCAGAGCTGGGGAGAAGTGGATGAAGGCAGTCAAGAATGCCCAGCTTCCCTATGTAGAGACTTTGAATCAGTTCTGTTCTCAGTGCCATGCATTACTCCCTATTTTAGGAGAACATGGTGCCTCCAGGCCCAGAACCTTTTCAGAGCCCACTAGAAAAATCTGACTTACTTCTGCAGGAACTTGTGTTTCTGCTGCTGCTTTTGCTCTGTGGAGAAAGTGATCATTCCAGTGCACTTTATTTTTTTTTAAACTCCAGAACTTTTTAAAACCTTCTTCTTTCTCGTCCCTTTGTGCATTCTCTGCGTATTCTTTTGCTTTTATTCTAGTTGAATTTCAATAAGGAGTATAATAAATAAATGTGGTGGTCAAACAAATATACTAAAATGAAAGTTTAGAGGGAATTCGTACATTATGGTTAATGACCTTTTTGTTATTGATTAGTAGGACTTCTTTTTACATTAAGGAAGTTTACTACTTTGTCACATATGGTATGACTATTTCACCGACTTAGGCTTTTGCCTTTTGAGCTTTTTTTGTCATGTAAAAAGATTTTCATATTGATTTAGTCAAATATATCAGCCTTTTTCCCCCCCTTTTTGGCTTTTCTTATGCTTATAAAGACCATTTGCTTTAAGATTATTAAAACATTTTCTCATGCTTTTTCTCTCAATTTTTTTCAGTTTTATTTCTTTATTCATTTTTAGGTTTTAATTTTTGATCAATCTAGAAGTTATTTTGGTGTAAGGTGTGAGGTAAGGCTCCAATTCTATTGTCCTCAAAATGATTTCAACATTTTAAAACATTTCAAAATGTCCCCCTTGTTTCTTTCACCTCTCATTTAAAATACTACCATTTTCTATATGCTAAAACTTGGTATGCCAGTATGCCTTGGGTCCAATTTAGATTTGTTTCATTCAGTTTTTTGTTTATTTATATGACAGCTTTAATTATTGAAGATCCTATAGTTAGCTTTAATATTGGGTGGAATTTGTCTTTTCTGATTGCTCTTCTTAAAACAATATTTTAGATTATTCTTATACTGTTTTTTCTTTATAATATTTTAAAGTTTGTGCAGTTTCAAAAGACACATATAAACTTTAAAAAATTAATATAAAAATATATTAATCATAACCTAAAATAATTATATTATTGTTTATAATAGTTTTCATTTTATTCCTATTTTTAGGTCAACATTAACATATATGTAAATAATGACTTCTACTTTTCTAATTGTTTTAGCTCTTATTTCTTTTTACAGAAAAATAATGGGGGAAAAATAATGTTTGTAGCTGGCATTTTTTTTTTCATTTCTGGTTTTAATAGAAACACTTCTAAATTTGTCCATTAAAAATCAAGCAAGCTTTTGCACTGAAATGTATCATCTCAATGTATGGAGGTGATCCTATGGTTTTAATCTTTTAACTGCTTTTACTGAAGTTAAAAAAATTATCTTTTGCCATTTTTAAGGGAAACAATGTCATATCACTTGGTTCATTAAACAATCACAGGACTTCCAAGGTCTTCAGAACCATCAACTCCTTCCTGCATTATTCCTTTTGTTCTCAGTCTCAACTGCCACTGGAATGTGGAAGGTGTGACTGACAACTAAACCACCCCCTGAAGCCTCTAGCATAGACAGTTTCATATATTTTGTGGATAGTAAGGTACCTAGAGTCATGTAAATTTGTATTAAAAATTCAGTTTTTGGTAAAGAGGTTCTGTTACACTTAGGATACCTTAGTAAGAATGCCTTTTGTGTTGAGCATAAAAGACTAAAACACTGTATTGAAAGGTCGAGTATGAAGTTGCTGAGGTGGGAAACACACTGGACCTGAAAACAGAAATTCCAGCTATGTTCTTGCCCCTTGCCACCTTTTCTTGGACTAATCATTTGACTACTCTGAGACACAGCTCAAGAATGGAAATGATCATTGTAAGTTTTACAGCACCTTACCAACTGAGGAGCCCAGTGGGCTACCTTCCATGGAGCTGCAGAGAGTTGGACATGACTGAGCATGCACACAGGCACCAATATTAGGCATCATCTTCCAATTTTAAGAATATTTCAAATCTTTAAAATTAACCTCAAAATTGAGTTTAAACCATATTAATTTTTTCACAATAATTAATGCAATAAAATGAGTTTTTGTTCTACACAAAATGACATAAGGTGCATAAAAAAGGGGGGTTCACTACTGTTCAGCTTCTCTAGCAATACACAGCGCCACCCCAGTGTGATGGGGTAGTTATATGCAAGTGGTGCCTCTCAGCTCTGATGCCACAACTTGCTGTCCTTCTAGAATCTCCTGGCTCTAGCCATTGTCTTTCTTTTCCTTTTAAAGCATGAGCTTCCTTACTTCACAGTCTTGAGAAATTTCCTGCCACTTCCCTTTAAATGGGGCTTCCCTGGTGGCTAAGATGGTAAAGAATCTGCCTCCAATGCAAGAGACCTGGGTTCAATTCCTGGGTCAGGAAGATCCCCTAGAGAAGGAAATGGCAGTATTCTTGCCTGGAGAATTTCATGGACAGAGGAGCCTAGCAGGCTATAGTCCATGGGGTCGTAAAGAGTCAGATAAGACTGAGCAACTGATACTTTCACTTTCCCTTTAAATGCCCACGTCTCAGGACCTGGTAGGGAAGATAAGTCTTTAGAAGCAGCTGCAGAAACTTAAAGAAGTTGTGAATGCTTCCTGAGGCAAATGAGTCCAGAATGTAGAAGCCTGTGTGTTCTCTAATAATAACCTTCCCCATCTTCTCAGTCTTCTGTAGCAGTGAACACTAGACAGAAATTAATAGCTCAATAAATTATACTGCCACTAGTCAAGTCTAACATTCAAGTCATTATTTTTCTGTTCAATACTAAAGGGGGATAGTGGCTCCATCTGCCTTAAAGTCTCAGTTCTGGTTTTGGTGTCACATTTACACCATGGCCCTGAGGCCATCCAGCAGATGTCTATAAATTATCCTCTCTCCCATGCATCAAGAAAAGGACTAGCTTTATATAATCCTTACAAGATATGAGAAGATAATCATTCAAGTCATTTCTTGAGTTTTGTGGTTCAGATTAAGAATGAATTTCTGGTCATGGAGAGAAAAGGTTAAGATACGGTTTTGAAGTCCAATCATTTGGGTTCTAACTTCATCTCTTTCTACCTGTACATCTTTTTATCTTTTTGAAGAGGAGAGGTGTGGGAGAAACTCAGCTTCTTTATCAATGAAAAGGCAAAAGTAATATGACTTACTTCTTGAGTTTATATGTGTAAGACCATCAGAACAGAACCTAACATATAGTAAATGTTCAACACTCAATAAATGCTGGCTTCCCTGGAGGAGGGCATGGCAATCCACTCTAGTATTCTTGCCTGGAGAATCCCCATGGACAGAGGAGCCCAGCAGGCTATAGTCCATGGGGTCGCAAAGAGTCAGACATGACTAAACGACTAAGCCAGCCTATTAAAAGAAAATCAAAGCAAATAGTGCTTCTTCCTCCTAAAAAGACATGTCTTCTTTAACCTTTCATATATTTAAGTAAAACTTAACATTTAGGTAAATATCAGAAAGTTATATCATCACTCTGAATGAGAGGTGTTGTATTCTAAATCATAAGTCCAATAGTTTAGATTAAAAAAATTTTCATTGTTATGAAACTATGTAGTCTGATAAAATGTTTTGCAGGTAATATTTTCTTCTTTGCTTATTTATCCAATATATACTGACTAAAGCATATTCAACCAGGCATTATTAGAAACATTAAAAGATGAATGTTTCATTTCAGTCCATAAAAAGTTAATGTGACCTGGAAGTATGGTTAGTACCTGCAACACACATAACCAAGATACTGCAAAACTTGGAAATGAAGTATGATTATTAATCAATGATGTTAAACACAGGTCTATGAAGGATATGACTTTTGAATTAAATCTCGAATCATCAGTGGTCCACGTCTGGGCTGAAAAGGGCTCCATGGGTAAAATATCTAACTGGAGGGCCTTATGGATGTTTACATAAATGGGCAAGGACTCCAGTTTCACTGGTAAGAAAAGCAATTAATATGAGACTGGAAAGGTAAAATGAGCACACTACTATGCAGAAAATGAAGGCTGCCAAGGGATGTCTAAAGCTTTGTTTGATTGGCACTAAAGAAGAGATATTACATCTCATGCCTTTAGTCAATAGTTTCTTTCCTGGTGGACTGACTGATATTTGTTTCTTCTTCAGGTTTCTTTGGTTAGCTTGGTAGCCAATGCTCTTGGCTACTCAGAACTCGGTGCCATCAAATCCCTACGGACATTAAGAGCTTTAAGACCTCTGAGAGCTTTATCCCGGTTTGAAGGCATGAGGGTAAGAAGAATAAAAGCTCTGATGATTTATATCAAAATTAAATGTAGGTAATGATTTAGATACAGAGGGGTGCCACACTCTTCTGACACTTCTTTCATATAATTATACAATTTCAAAGCGGAAATCCTAAAAATCACTACGCTTAGCCTCCTGAAACTAAAACAGGCCCTCAAAAAAATTTTTGTGGCAGTACTAAAACTAGAATCCAGGTCTCCTGGTAACAGATCAAGGATGTTTCCACACAATTACAAACTCTGTGTTGCCACTTATTTCTTTTCACTGCTTATACATTTTATAATGACTGTTTACTACTGACATTCATCCTAGAAGGAGATATTCTTCCTTTCAATAGGTAGTTTGATTTCTTAAAAATAACTAGTAATGAAATTTTTGTGTGCTCTACTTCTTCCATTAATATTGGTAATAAAAAGTTGTTGTGCAAGAAAACAACACTAAATTGTAGCCTCTAACAAAATCTGCATATCCTAAGCAACCAAAGTAGGGGTTAGGATAATTAAACTAAGCATTGCAGGCAACCCCTGGGGTTTGTTTTACAGATCTCCCTTCTAAGTGAGCATTCTGAATGAGGTTCACTTTTTCCATTAGCACTTGTATTTCCTCTCCATCTCTCTTCCTTAGTGTACATTTTATGCATCTAAACATAAAGTACACAATATTAACATCTACTTGCCACACCCCTCAAAATACTAGTTAGGACTAAGGCCAGCTTTGTTTAATCCAGCTTGCAAATGCACATGGATATTGAATTTCTTCTAGGCCATAGGGCTTTTATGTTAGGAGGTGGTTTGTTGAAGCAGTAAAAACACTTCAGCCTTGACTTTGAGATTCACTCACCAGGAAGAATGAAACCACTCTCCAGATGCGCTGTAAGCAAGGAAATACTTAGTGTTACATTATAATTTTACTTCACTGTTACTTGAGAAATAAACACACAAGATAAAATTTTTAAAAAATTATTATGTAATTTCAAGCTTTTTCCATACCAATCTTTTAGTATTACTGACATTTAAGCCTTCATCTGATTGCATGGCTTCGTATCAATAATTCATTTTTGAGGGCAGACAGCAACTGAACAAAATTAAAAACTTCCAAATTTGCTCTAATCTGAAAACTATTCTACATTAACATTTTTAATTCTCATAATATGACAGAATTAATATTCTAGGTATAAAATATGGTAAAAGGTATCATGAATTTACTTGATAAGAAAATTTATGGGAGGTCATTTTACACAAATTTGAGAGCAAAAAAAACTGGTTTTGGTATAATATACATGACAATTTCTATAAGAAATAAGATTCAACTAGCATATGAAGTTTTTACAATTTTGGATTTCAAGTTTTGATATTAATTTATAATTCTTTGGTGTTGATTTCTAAAATAATGTTTCAGCAATTTAAAACAATAGTTTCACTTATAAGTGCTTAACAAAATAGTCCCAATTTTAATTAATTAGATAAGAAAACACAAACTGCTAGATATTTGAAAATACATATTAATCTCTTCTGAATTTAATTAGAGGAAAGGTGATGGAACTTCTCCTTCATCAAACAGGTTGGCCTGGGTTGGTAAAGTAACGAGTGCCCCGAAGGCAACCTTTAAGAGATTTGGAACAATAATAATGGGAATACGTTCAGTACTTTTATATCCAGAGATAAATTCCATCTTATATCCCATCTTAATTTACTTTTTAAAAAATTAGGAATTAGTAGGGGAAAAATGACCTTGCAAATTCCTAATACTATTCTTCATCATCATCAAAACTTAGCTTGATCTGGGGACATAGATTTAAGGCATTATCATTACTTTGTTTCTTTGTAGTGGGCTTGTTTAACCATGTTTTCAAACCACCAATTACTCATTAATACCTTTGAAAATTCAAATGAATTGCTGAATGATGATTACTTCTTCTGTTGGTATTTAATACATTTTTTTCTTTTTTTCTCCAGCATACAAACATTTTCTGACTCCATCTTACTCTATCAGGTTTTTGTTTATTTCTTTTCATACTTTGGAATATCTTGCTTTCCTTAAATCCTTAGCTTTTTAGTTGTGTCACTGTCTGTTTTCCCTTACTGAATATGTTCTAGAAAATATCAGAAGAAACAACTTTCCACCTAGATTTTTATTTAACTCATTAAACACCCATTTTATGTTAACTATATAATCAAAAGAATGGTTTCCATTTTAACAATTTGTAAGCTGCCTTATCCTTATCTCCTCTTCTAGGTCGTTGTGAATGCTCTTGTTGGAGCAATTCCCTCTATCATGAATGTGCTGTTGGTTTGTCTCATCTTCTGGCTGATCTTTAGCATTATGGGTGTGAATTTGTTTGCTGGCAAGTTCTACCACTGTGTAAACACGACAACGGGTAACATGTTTGATGTTAGTGAAGTTAACAATTTGAGTGACTGTCAGGCTCTTGGCAAGAAAGCTCGGTGGAAAAATGTGAAAGTAAATTTCGATAATGTTGGAGCTGGCTATCTTGCACTGCTTCAAGTGGTAAGTACCTACTATATGAGTTTTGAAAAAGATTTCAAGTAAATCATTCCTCTGATGTTCTCTGAGTGATTAATATCTGACAGCACAGAAGTAGCTGATGATAACAGCTGTACTCTAATAGCTGTACTATTAGCTTGACTTGACTGTAAAGAAGATACTTTGCAGTGATTTTAATGTATTTCCCCCAGTGTTCAGTTGTTAGTGTTTTAATATAATTTTATATTTCTGCTTCCTGTTTTTTTCTTATTCTATTATTGTTATTACGCTATTACCATTTTAATTTTCTGTACCAATAATTGCCAAAGAAGCAATTTTGTGTATTAAAATAGTAATATATATAGTAGTAATTAATTAAATGTATAGATTATTAGCCAGAGAATTAATTGTATCAACATCATCAGGGTATAGACCTATTAGGTATGGAAATGCAAATCTTTTGGTGTAGATTTCAAAATGTGTAATATTTAATTATTTTGACTTAATTCACAATATATTAACTAATCAAGAAATTAACCAAAACAGTTGAGTGCTTAAACATACCAGAGGTTTGAATGATAGAGCTTAGCTTCTGAAAGTGATTTGAGACTGAGATTCATCTAGTTAAATGTTAGCGCAGAAAAAAAATAGAATACCTTCCAAAACAAAACGAGTTCCAGTTTTGAAATAAAATCCTATTCAATTTCAGTTTCATTGAAATTTCAACTGCAGAGGATTCCAGTCTCTTTGTAGAGTATTTCAAAATATTATACAAAAAATTATTTTTAATAACTATCATATTTTCATATGGTAAAATGCATACTGTTGGATTAGGTTTTTATGCAGAATTCAAATATATATTGTTTAACAGGCCACATTTAAAGGCTGGATGGACATTATGTATGCAGCTGTTGATTCACGAGATGTAAGTATCACTCAAATACTATTTATAGTTACTAGATTTTTCCATAGTGAACATTTGTGATAATTTAACTGAAAGGCCCAGAATATTATATTAGAAGCCATCAGAACATTTACAACTGCATGTAGAGATTCTCTTTTTAAGCCAATTCACTTCCATGTAAATGATACTTTGGTTAATATATGTTTGTTATATATCTAATAACAGGTCAGTCAGGTCAGTCCAGTAAATGAGACTCTTAAGGTTGGGAAAACTGCTCAGGCAGGAAGGAACTAGTCTCCCCCATCCCTGGAGAGTATGATAAATCAGAGTCTGTGAAGCGGCTTCCAAAAATATCGTGATAAAAGTAAGCAAGTTTCAGGGAAACTCAATTTAGAAAACAGAAATAAAAATAGTTCTTCAGCACACGTGTTTTTGCTGAATTTTCCTCTTAGAAGTCGATGTTCTGTTATTAAGGCCTCATCTCCAAGATAAGGAGTTATCTTGGGTTTCAACTCCAAACCCAAGTTGAAAATATTGCAAAAAAAAAAATTATAGTAAGACAAACAGTGGGTTCAAAATGTTTGCCTTGTTTATACCACTGTTATTTACTCTAAAGAATATGTACAGGTAAGCCCCAATGGGAAAACAGATTTAAGAATAATCATAAAAAAATTAAAAACTTTCAATATACTAGTAGTGTTTGTCACTAAGTCATGTCTGAGTTTTTGCGACCCCATGGACTAGAGCCCACCAGACTCCTCACTCCTTGGAATTCTCTGGGCAAGAATAATGGAGTGGGTAGCCATTCCCTTCTCCAGGAAATCTTCCTGATGCAGAGATAGAGTTCAAGTCTCCTGCATTGCAGGCAGATTATACTAGGTCATGCTAATTTGAAAAAAAGAACTGCTTTTGCAGAACAATATCTCAGGTCAAGGCAAAAAATAGCTCTATAGAAAGTAACAACACTCACCAAATTTTTAGTTCAGCCCAAGTATTTATTGTGTTTTTAAATGTTATTTAATATTTTCAATATTATTTAGGTTAAACTTCAGCCTGTATATGAAGAAAATCTGTATATGTACTTATACTTTGTCATCTTTATCATCTTTGGGTCATTCTTCACTCTGAATCTATTCATTGGTGTCATCATAGATAACTTCAACCAACAGAAAAAGAAGATAAGTATTCCTCAGCTCTCACCTTTCTCCATTCTGAGATTCTGGTTTTTTTACATCCCGATAACCAGGACACTCATAATCATGACCAACTTAGGTCATTTTTATATTCTTTTTCACTTGCTATGTGGTCAGTTCAACTGCAGAGGATTCCAGCCTCTAACTGGTGGCTCCTCTCCAGGTTCATCCTCTGCAGATCTGCTATAGTGTCATTCTGACTTAGAAATATGACCATATTGCCTCAAAACATCCAGTGGGCCTCAATGCTTTACCCTTGCTTACAGAGCCTTTCAGGAATTATCTCCACCCAGTCTTCCAGCTTCATCTTCTCCTACACACTTTCTATATTCACTTCCCTCCTCCTCAGTAACCACCCACCCACCATTAACACTATCACTTGCTACACACACAGCTACATGGATTTTCTGCCCTTTTCTGAACAAGGTATGCTCTTTTCCCTCTGTCACTTTACACAGTATATTTTCTTTCCCCCTAAAATGCTTTGTCCAGCAAACCCTTAATCATACTCTAGCTTAAGGTCTAGCTTAAGTGTGTTAGTAGCTCAGTTGTGTTCAACTCTTTGCAACACTATGGACTGTAGTCCACCAGGCTCCTCTGTCCATGGGATCTCCCAGCCAAGAATGCTGGGGTGGGCAGCCATTCCCTTCTCCAGGGGAATCTTCACAACCCAGGGATTGAACCTGGGTCTCCTATACTGCAGGCAGATTCTTTAACATCTGAACTGCTCCCCTATATAAAGCCTGTTTCTGAATCCTGGAGTTTATTGTTATCTCCTCAGTGATGGATTGTTTTATTTGTTTATATATAGATGCATATAGATACACGTAGATGTAAATCTATGTAATTCTGATACTGGGTACATTGTCCTACACACAGCAAGTGCTCAAAAAGTGTTGAATTAAAAAATAAATACTGAAATGAACTAAGAATTTTTTCCTTAATGAAAACATATTTGAGACCCCTAAGCCTCCTTCTAAACATAATATTATCAAATTAGAATCCTGTACTAATCACAGTTTTATGTGATTATGTGTTTTACATAAGGTTAAGGTACTCAGAATTTCACATAAAACCAAAAAGCAGGATAAATCTATATGAAGTAGGGTAAGATCCATTTAAAAATTGAAAAGAAGGATTAAAGGAAAGACTCAGAATTATTTTTGTAAAAGTATTGCTGTAATACAGGCTGGATTGTAACCAGTTTTCTACTATGTCTTTACTTTGGAGGTCAAGACATCTTTATGACAGAGGAACAGAAAAAATACTACAATGCAATGAAGAAACTTGGGTCTAAGAAACCTCAGAAACCCATACCTCGGCCTGCAGTAAGAATTACTCATCTCCTTGAACATTCCAAAGCCCTATTTCCATATGATGAAACTGGGCAGTGCTGGTTCAGAACATATTAGGTGATATCACCAATATATATATACTGTGATCTAATTGTAAAGTACATGTTGTATAACACAATTTGCAATTACTACACTCTATGAATTACTAAGTTCCTAAAAATGAGGCAGTGTTCTTTACTTGTCAGTTGAAAAGTTCCAAGTCAGAGTTCCCAGTAACTGCTCCCAAAGCAAGCTCCTGCTCCTGCTGCCACCTACTGCTGCCAACAGCGCACCCTTCTCTCCTTCCCTGATCTGTTACGTGGGCCCCCTCTTGTCCTTTTAAGCAGATGAACTTAAAACCTCCCATTCAACACCCATGGCCTCCCTCTGTGCCATTTGTTCTGTCCATTGTTATGAACAGAAAGCAATTTTTCACCTACTTAGAAAGGGAAGGTTGTCATCAAAATAGTTGGTTTCAGCGTACACACACACACACACACACAAATGATTTATCTAGAATGCATACCCTATAGAGCTTCATTAATAGTGCAAAGACATAAAGATGGTGTATTATGTCCACAGAGTTGTATTCTAAATTATCTATCCTCTTAGATGGGTAAGGAACAAGGAAACTAAGACCCAGAGAAGGTATATATTGTACCCAAAGTCACAAAGCCTATAATTGCTGAACTAGGACTTGAAAAAGTCTCATGAATCTTATAAATGACTTCACTTTGCATAATTTTTAAGAGGGTGCAGGGGTGGGGTAGGAGGGAAGGGAGGGGAGGGAGGAAGTAGAGCAGAATACACAAAAGGACATAAACCTACTTTACTGAATGTCATTTAAGTATTATTGTTAGAAGAAGCAGAATTAAATTAAAAATGACTGATATTTTGGGTCATGGACAGACAGAAATAAGACATAATTCAAAACTCCTAAAGTGTTGATACATCAACTGGTGCATTCATCCATCTAAAAGTCTGTCTACATTAACCTAATTTGTAAATCTTCATTGCTAGTTGTTATATTTTTTGTAAAAATTGCCAGTTAGTAAAATCAAGCAAAGCCCATGCACATTATCAGCCAGTTGCCACCAATTTATGTCATTCAGCTTTGTCTCCCCATAGAATCTAAATAAAACAATTATGCTTTGCTTTTGTCATATGACATTTTTCATTTCCTTCTCTTTTTTTAACAGATTTGTTTCAGGTAGTGTGAGAAGGGTACACATCCGGTGGGCCATATACAGAAGGACTTCATCTGCAATTTTATGGATCATTATTTATGAAATATGCATATTAACCTTCTTGTTTTCTCTCTCTTTCTAGAACAAATTCCAAGGAATGGTCTTTGATTTTGTAACCAGACAAGTTTTTGATNCTCCTCTTCTCATAGCAAAACCAAACAAAGTCCAGCTCATTGCCATGGACCTGCCCATGGTCAGTGGGGACAGGATCCACTGCCTCGACATCTTATTTGCCTTTACAAAGCGTGTTTTGGGTGAGAGTGGAGAGATGGATGCCCTTCGAATCCAGATGGAAGATCGCTTCATGGCATCAAACCCCTCCAAAGTCTCCTATGAGCCCATCACAACCACTCTGAAACGCAAACAAGAGGAGGTGTCTGCGGCTATCATTCAGCGTAATTTCAGGTGTTACCTTTTAAAGCAAAGGTTAAAGAAGGTAGTGAATGAGTATAACAAAGAGGCGATCAAAGGGAGGATTGACTTACCTATAAAAGATGACATGATTATTGACAAATTAAACGGGAACTCCACCCCAGAAAAAACAGATGGGAGTTCCTCTACCACCTCTCCTCCTTCCTATGATAGCGTAACAAAGCCAGACAAAGAAAAATTTGACAAAGACAAACCAGAAAAAGAAAGCAAAGGGAAAGAGGTCAGGGAAAATCAAAAGTAAAAAAAAAAAAAAGAAACAAAGAATTATCTTTGTGATCAATTGTTTACAGCCTAAGAAGGTAAAGTTTATGTGTCAACTGAACTCCCAGAGGAGGTCTATGCCAAACTGACTGTTTTAACAAATACTCATGGTCAGTGCCTATAACAAGACAGTGACCTCTCCGTCATTACAACTCTGTGAGTCAGGGTATCAACACTGACAGGAGGTTACTGTTTTCTTTACCAGCTGACACTGCTGAGGAGAAATTCAATGGCTACCCAGACCATAGGGATAGTTGTGCAAAGTGATCCATTGTAACCACACCAAACACTTTTAGTACAGTACTTGCATCTACTCTATTTTTAACTTCCATATCTGCCATATTTTTACAAAATTTGTTCTAGTGGATTTCCCTGGTCGCTAATTCATAGTTTATTCATAATACTTCGTCACTATTTTTGTAAATGAGCTTTAGGTTGAGAAAAAAGAATTTAAGAGCCCTGTGTTCCTACTCCATAAGTTTCTCGAATCAGACAAGAGCTTTGCCCAAGAGATGAAATTCTTGCTCAAAACCAGAAAAAAATTCTAACACTATCAGGTACTTCCATTTTCTAGACGGCTTTAATTTTGAAAGTGTTTTAGTCTACATTTGTTTATATCTAAACAGTTATGTGCCTGTAAAGTCTCCTCTAATTTCTAAAGGATTATTTTTATGCAAAGTATTCTGTTTCAGCAAGTGCAAATTTTATTCTAAGTTCCAGAGCACTATATTTAATTTTGGTTAAATGCTTTCCCCAAAAAAGTAATCTAATAAATCTGTTCTAGAAAAGTATATCTAAAGCATCACTTTAGAATAGTTGTTCCACTTTCTGCTGCAGTATTGCTTTGCCATCTTCTGCTCTCAGCAAAGCTGACATTTTATGTCAATTAAACACACCCTCTGTTATGTAAATAGTTATTTTATCCTGTGGGCGCATATTTGCAGATATATATATATATATACACACACACACACATATATATATATCTCCTGACAAACAACTCCTATTAAATCAAATATGTACCACAGTATATGTGTCTTTTGCAAGCTTCCAACAGGGATGTATCCTGCACCATTCATTAAACATAAATAGTTTGAAGACTATCACTAATGCATGTTAATTGCCTATGCTGCTCTATTTTACACAATCCATTCTTCACGAGTCTTGGTTAGAAGTCACATGCTGGTAGTAGAGTGATTTCAACCTGCTCTATGTCTAGTAAGTCAAGCAGAATAACTTGCAGTTATTTAAAAGCACTTTTCCTTTTCCATTTTTAATTCAATTTGAGTGTCATATGGTGTCTCTCTAGATTCAAGGAAACACACTGCATACTGCCTACTGTCAAAACATACACTTCGTATTTTGCTAAAAATATGTCCAAAACTTGTTTAAATATAAATAATGTAAAAATATGATCAATTTTATTTGCTGCATTTTATACATAAGATAATTATTTTCAAGTTGATGACATGGCAATTTATTTTACTTTATGCTTTTGCTTTTATTTTTAATCACAACTCCAAACTTTTGAATCCATTAGACTTTTCAATGGATAATTTCCTAAAAGTTAGACAATGGGTTTTGTGGATTTCTTTGTTATAATATATTTTCTATCATTCCAGTAGGATATACATTGGTCAAATATTCAAACCTAGGTCATTTTCTACCAACTATGGTTGCCTCAATATAACCCTTTATTCATGGAAGGTTTTTTTTTTAACTCAACTTTTGTAGTATTTGCTTATGCAGACTAGTCTTATTTTTTTAATTCCTGCTGCACTAAAGCTATCAGAGATATAACTTGGGCTATGTCCCTTTTAGCCATGAACATAGTGGCAAAGTTGTGCAATTACTTAACATGATATAAATTTTTGTTTTTGCACAAACCAAAAGAGTAATGTTAATTCCTTTTACACAACTATTTACTTGTAGTGTATTGATGAACTGCATGCAGGGAATTGCTATTATTAAAAAGAATGGTGAGCTATGTCATTATTGAGCCAAATGAATAAATATTTCATTTTTTATTGTATTTAATTTTTTGGCTTCTGTTTTTATTGTTGGAAGTTTAAACTATATATAATTAATGAAACCTGTACATGATCTGACATTTGTATACATAAAAGTTCATATGAATTTTATAACAACCTACTGCACGATTTACCGAGAAATACTATAAAGTCAATTAAAAGCAGTTTTGATGAACTTTTCTGTGTGCAAAAGATCAAGCCCACATATTCCAACTTGCAAGTTTAACAGCAATAACGATAGCCATCTACAACAGTTATCAATTTCAGTTAATTCTCTTGGTTGTAAACATTTTAATCTCAACTCCTCACTATGTAATCTCCAAATTTCTTGGTAGTAAATAAATGTTATAGTACATAATTTGTTACTTAAATTCATTTTATGAATTTCTATTTACACATAAAATATTAATGATGTAGTGACTGAGAAATTATATTAATCTTTTTTTTTTTCAGGGTCCCTTGGATTTATGTCAGGCCAAAACAAAATATTTATTCTCAATGGAAAACTCCATTTGTAATGCTTATATTTTTGATGAATTGAACCATATATACATTTTACAATTTCACCAATGTAGATGGAATAAGGTGACTTATTTGGAATTCACTGGCTTCTTTCTGTTCAAGTCAATTTTCAGATTTTGCCAACATCACAGAGAAGTCAAGTGTTACTATGCAAAGTCCTTAACCTTTTTATGTACCCCATTATATGATTATTGGCCAAGTATATCTATTGATATGTATTATATCTAAATGATCTTATGGTCAGAAGAGTCTTCAGTTGTAAAAAAATATATATTAAAAAAAAATGTACCTAGCTAAAGGATATTCTGAAAATGTTCAGAATTTAGGGTTGCTAATGTAATTTGACAGATATCTGAAATAACTACTTTCACAAGAAAAATCCTCTTATTATTAAACTTCATGATATAATTTTGTTAAAAATAGAATTAATCAAGTTGGACACAGAAATAACAATACCAAGAAATTAAAGAAACTTAAATTCACCAATAAGTGATACTAAATCACAAATAAATGATACTAAATCACCAATAAGTGATCCTTTAATTAAAAAAAACCATTTGTGTGGAGAGAAAAATGAGTATTCTGCATTCTACATTTCAAATACTATAACTGAAAGATAATGGCTATATAAACTTATGCATTTCTAATTTTCAAATAACTAGAATACAATAAAATATCATAAATCATTCTTGTAAATTTCAAACTACTAGTAGTAATCATAAAGAATGTCCTTGCTAAAAAAAAAAAAGAATGCCCTTACTGACCATTTTTTGTGGACATGGAAAATGTAAAACAGAAAAATGGATCAAAAGTTCTGACACTTGACATTTAGTATAAGTTCTGATATAAAACTATCAGTGTAATCTAGGAAAATCAATTCTGACCCTCAGATTCCCCCTCTATTTTAATGGGGATGCTGGATTAGGGATGTTGTCTCTAGTAATACTTTAATTCTACAGCTTTATGTTCAAAATCAAATTGCCTACTCAAAATGAGTAATTTCCTTTATATGAGTAATTTTAATGAAAAATGTATATTGTCAATACACCATTTAAGTGACTACTCAGACAACTTTAAATAGAAACACAAGGGACTTTAGAAACACAAGGGACTTCCCTGGTGGTCCAGTGGTTAAAACTGTATCTTCCAATGCAGGGGCAAGGGTGTGATCCCTGGTCAAGATCACATGTCATGGGGTGTGGCCAAAAATGTTTTAAATATAAATAAAAACACAACATTTCACCTTGACTTTAGCCCCATTAATGAAGAAGCCTCCTTGGCCTCAAAGATTTTATATGACAAAGGTGAAGAATGTCTTAAATAATTGAAAGCATGACTATTATTCCTTTCCGATAGTGTTACATATTTCTAAAAGACAACATCTGATAAATAACATAAGAGATTAAAACAAAGGTATCATTAGTTGTACATAAAACTGTCTTGAACTACAAATAATGACAACGACTTCTTTGTCATTAATATTTGCTACAAAACTTCAAGAAGTTGGGCTTATGTCTTATATTCCCTCAGTTCAGTTCAGTTCAGTCACTCAGTCGTGTTCGACTCTTTGCGACCCCATGAATTGCAGCACACCAGGCCTCCCTGTCCATCACCAACTCTCAGAGCTTGATCACACTCAGGTCCATTGAGTCGGTGATGGCATCCAACCATCTCATTCTCTGTTGTCCATTCTCCTCCTGCCTTCAATCTTTTCCAGTATCAGGGTCTTTTCCTATCGGTCAGTTCTTCACAGCAATTGGTCAAAGTATTGGAGCTTCAGCTTCAGCATTAGTCATTCCAATGAATATTCAGGATTGATTTCCTTTAGGATGGACTGGTTGGATCTCCTTATAGTCCAAGGGACTCTCAAGAGTCTTCTCCAACACCACAGTTCAAAAGCATCAATTCTTCAGCACTCAGCTTTCTTTATGGTCCAACTCTCACATCCATTCATGATTACTGTAAAAACCATAACTTTGACTAGATGCCCCTTAGTCTGTACAGTAATGTCTCTGCTTTTTAATATGCTATCTAGATTGGTCACAACTTTTCTTCCAAGGAGCAAGAGTCTTTTAATTTCATAGCTGCAGTCACCATCTGCAGTGATTCTGGAGCCCAAGAAAATAAAGTCTGTCAATGTTTCCATTGTCTCCCCATCTATTTGCCATGAAGTGATGGGACTGGATGCCATGATCATCGTTTTTGGAATGTTGAATTTTAAGCCAGTTTTTTCACTCTCCTCTTTCACTTTCATCAAGAGGCCCTTCAGTTCCTCTTCACTTTCTGCCATAAGGGTGTTGTCATCTCCATCTTCCAAAAACTAGCTCAAATATCATCATCTTTTATGAAGTTTCCTCAGACTGCCCTAAAACCTTTCTCCTCAGACTTCCTAATGTACATCTAGGATGGCATGAAACCATACTGTGCTATATTACCTCCTTTGCACTTATCTTTTCTAATAGATTGCAGTACATCCAAGGTATGGGACACATTTCATTAATTTTCTCATCCTTTTACCCTTTATCAGCAATGACTAAAAGATATGTGACTATCAGTTTTCACATATATTACTAGAATTGATTCTTACAGGAACATACAAAAAAACTTAAGTGCCAAACAGTAACAGCAGTAAATTTTCTTTCAGTCCTTATTGAGAATGACTCTCAAATTTATCATAATCTAAATTCAGATAAACCACTGTCACAATTAATTATAAGATATACAAATATCTCAGAAATACCTTTTAACTATAGTTTACAAGTAATGTCAATTGCCTAACAAAAACTATTAAAACAAAAAAACTTTTTCATTTCCATTAATTCTGTCAGTGAAAGAATAGACTTCTTTAGTGGTTCTCAATTAGAAATATGTTGCATGAATAAAATTGTAGTCAGGTTTTATTTCACTACCTTAAACATGCATATATTCTTCACTTGAATAACTCTTAAGTACTCTGATAATACACTGATAACTAGAAATTTGCTTGGCGAATGTATACTTACAACACACAATGGGACAATTACCCTAAAACCCTTCTGTCACAAAATATCTAGAAACAGTTAATAAAAATTTTACCAGAAAACAAGGGAAATTCCTTACAGGTGATAGTGAAAGGTAAGCTAGCACTTAAGTCAGCAGCTATTCTGTGGGCTTCTATTGGTCCCAGTGACCTATAGCTTGGTTTTAAGTGTCTGTGTACAGGCAACAGAAAACAAAGATCTGGATCCAATGTGGATTAGAGATCCTGAATAAATTCAAGACCCACAAAAAGTTACACACTTTAATGAAAGCATTTTTAAAAATCAACCTTGTAAACACAGATCAAAAGAAAACCTTAGCAAGCAAATGTTTCTGTCTGGTCTTAACTCTGGTTTACAGAAAAAAAGTCTCTCTAACGATGCACAGTTATAAACCCAGAATTCACCTGTATTTATGATCCAAACTTATACCATGTGCCTGGTACAAAAGGCAAGGCAAATATTCAATTTAAAGGAGATACAAGTTGCTGGTGGTCCCAAGATCCTCGTAGAAACTAACTGAAATCTTTTCTAAAAAGACCTGACCTCAGGTCAGGCCTCAATGATTTCCCACAAAGTCCCAGAAACATGAACTCACATTAGAGAAATAACAAACCAATGAGAAAATACAGCTACAGAGTGAAAGAGGGAGCTGAACTTCAGAGAGAAATTTACAGTCTTCCAAGTTGAGAGCACAGAGTTTGAAACAACCACAGCAGCTGGAAAGTGACAGAACTATATAAATCTGGCTGATCCCTTAAATTTGCCCATGTGTGACAGATTTAAAGCAGTCATGCTAAGTCTTAAACATTCAGGGTTTTCAGTTGTTGCTCACTGCAGGGAAGGTNAAAAAAAAACCAGAAATTATAAATAGTTTGATAATATAAAAATGCCACACTAGAAACTGTGAGATGAAGCTAAAGTAGTAGTCAAAGGGAGATAAATTTAAATTTACAGCCAGAAATCTTTTTACTGGAAAATAAAATGGCTAAAACTTAGTGAGTTCAGGAGTAATTTAAAAACAAGAGAATAATTCCAAGGAAGCTAGAAGTAAGAATACAGGTAAATAGCAGGAAGATAGAGAAGAAAACTTAATGAAATATTTTTAAAGTGATAGAATAAAGACAAATTTGTGTCTTAATGACTCTCACAAGACTGATCAAAAAAGTAAACAATATAAGGAAAAAATTACAGGTACTGCCGAGGTAGAAATAATAATAGAGGATACAACAAACTGCTTTTTTTCAACATTTTTGAAAAATAGAATGAATACATTCTGAGAAAAACAGCACACCAACACTGACAATAAAATAATTTTTACAAATTGTTAAAATTTTTGAATTATACAAATTTTTGAAAAATTATAACCTTTAAGAAAGTTAATCAATAGTTTTTAAAAAATAAATTTAATCAATAGCTTTTTAAAAAAGAAACATAATCAATGGTTAAAATTACACATCCCC